GCACTATTTCTTTTTGACCGCACACAAAGTTTAATCACTAAATATATATATATATGAAACTTGTGATCGAAGGAGACTTACTGCGGACCAGCAATTCATTTCTGCATTGTCGTATTCGGCTAATCGACCGTTAAGAACCGACTGCACCAAGTATACGCATAATACGGGCATGTGTGTGTTTGTACGCGTATGTGTGCAAGTATGAATGTGTGTGTAAGCGCGTAGGGGAACGCAACTGCCAGTGCCAGGGACTGCTGTCAAATGCCGGTTTTAGAGGCAGCCTTTGATACATTTTTATCGCGCAAACCCTCTCTCTCTTTTTTTTCTTTCTCTTCAACCACACTTCTGCATCCGCTTCTACCACAATCATCGTAGTCGTAATCCCGTTCAAGCTACTTTTAGGCTGTTTTATACGACACCCAGCCACCATTTCTACCACCTTCGTCAGGCTGTATATACGTATATGACATCGAAATGTATACGCATAGGTACTAGCACAAAGCTAGTGCTCTTTTTACCTGTGCACAAATTGCTCGACCCTCCGAAACTTGGCGAAACCGATTGGATTCTACGCGGACCTGCAGTATATATTGACTCTTTTATGTTTATTTTTTATCCCAACGTTTTCACCGTTCCGCGTGTATCTAACTTCAAAGCAGATGTTTTTCATTTTTATTACACCGACGTCAAAACGCGTATATGTATACAAGCATAAATATAAATGTAAACGTATACACTTTCAAAGGATCTTATACATTTCTCTACTTGTTAAATATTTATGTAAATCATTCACAGGTACATTGTGCGTTCGCTGTTATCTATTTAAATTATAATTTTTATTAGTATCATCAAATTTTTTATTCGAAAAGTCTTTTTATGCACAGGTCAAGCCGATTACCGAGTATTCATAAACACTGGTAATTATTTTATTTATTAATATATAATATTTCATTAGACAACCTTATTAATCGTTAAATATTTCTTATGCTTTGCCAATGGCGGTTCGAAGGAAGTATATTTGAATCATGTGATTCACAGAAATATTAATAGGTTAAGGGTAATACAGGGTTATATTTACTGTATATACCAATTAAATACCCATTACTTATCCACTAAAAACCTACGAATTCACATTTTGAAATTTTTTTTTTAGGGTGGGTGATGTAAAAATATTAAGTGGGTCAAGAGAAAAAAAAGTTCAAGCCGTCACTGTGCTCTGAAATATGATGCTTTATTAAACGCAATGCGAACATTGAGTATACGAGTGATTGAAAATGTATTGTCAATTAATGGCGTATACATTACTTTTGTATGGGGGGGGGGGGGGGATCAGTCGCAAAAAAATTATTATGGAAGGAAAATTCCTAAACCTAAGTACCTGCACATTTCAATAATAAATAATAAAATATATATATTGAATGTGTCAAAATAATAATTTACAATAAATCCTTGCAATATTTTTTTGTTTCCTTATAATTTCCTTATATTAATAACACTATTTTATACAATTTTAAAAAAACCTATGGGGCGGGGGGGATCTGACCCCCACACATAGGCGTGCGTAGACCTATTTTTCAGGGTATGCAAAAGGCTGCCACTGCCTACCCTAAAACTGAAAGTTAATTTAAGCGTCAAAATGCTGGTCTTATAACTATTTAATTTAAAATTTTAATTTTTTTTCCTGAAAAAAAAAGTGACTGAATAGCCATTTCTTAATCGTTATAACTGTCTTCATAATTAAAATTTAAAATAAATTACGAAAAAAAGAAATTAAATATAAAACATTTGAAATGGTTTGAGTTATACGTTTAAATAGGGTAAATAAATAAAAACGTAATTATATACTTAAATGAAAAACAAAATAAATTTGATAAATAATTAAAATTAATCATAAAACGATTCTGTGTACAATTAAGTTCTTAATATCACTAATAATGTTTTCGGGATTTTAATTTATTGCCATTTCTTGTTCTGTAGTTGATAGCTATTTAATTTCGCTTGAATTATTGTACTTCTTAATTTCATTAACACATTAAATCGTTATTATAGCATATGATTTGTATTTCAAAAATAAATTAAACTGTCTGGGGCTGAATATAAAAATATAATGAAAATCATAATATAATACAAAATCACGTAGTATACATAAGATCTAATATTTTATAATTTTTATTTATCTATGTTTGGAGTATGCAGTTGCATACCCTGCATACCCCTTGCGCATGCCTATGCACCCACTCCCCCCTTGTATACGCTCCTGTTGTCTATGAGATTTCAAGGTATCATACGTATTGAATATAAAATAAAAATAGAACATGGACATAATATATATTATTTTTTGAAAAACCAACATAATCTTTAAATGTTCTTGGATTATTTTAATATTAAATCTTTTACTATAATAATAAATAAAGGTTAAGTGTTATATAATTAATTTTACGAATTTATAATATATATAATATAAGTTTTTGTATAATATGGCTTTTCAATTATTTGTATAAATACTTGTATGATGAGAAAACTTATTTCAGACATTGCATATGGTAGGCTGGCCAATACGTCTCCCTCTCACCTTCTATATTTTATATTTATATTTATTTTTTTACCCATGTGCAAAATTTTTGGCTTAAAGAAGATGAACTGAGTTTTCCAGACTTAAAAGTACTCTATCCTATTTGTCCATTGAAGGAATTCTCTAAGGTAATTGACTAAGTGACATTAGGATCATAAGACTATAAGAACTAAAGTGATGATAACATTTAGTTTAGGAAAATAAGGTCAAAAAAAAAAAGATCAGCGGCTATGGAATGACATCAGATTTATTTTTTAATAAATAATCATATCAAATAATAGGTTAATTATTAACAATTATAATAATACATATTAATTATTTGATGTTAAATTAATTAAGATTATAATATTAAGCCTATAATAAATTCAATTGATTTTTTTTTTTTTAATTTATTCGATTTCTTATTTATTAAATCAGACTTTTTCAAAATGTTTAAAAAATCTATTTTCTCAATTATTATTATGACTTAATTTCGAAGTTATATTCAAAAAATGTGTCTAAAATAATTATAGTTTAAGAACAAAGCATATATTTTTGAATCTGAATTAAACCACTCCTAAAATGAAAAATATATAAACTGTTCAGATTTTCTTTAGAAACTAAAAAATATATGAGCAACAGCCTTCTTTTAAAATTAGCGTTTTAAGCACTGCATATTATTAATGTACCCATATATTATTTTACCGTTAATTATAAAATTAACGTTAAAATAATAATTAATAGAATAAAACATCGAATTAATGTTGAAATTATATTGTATGAATACTTTTATTATGTCTTATCAAATTAAATGCCGAACCATCTAAACTCCAATAATTGGTAGTCAAAGAGTCAATGGCGATTTTTTCAAATGGTTATGCATTATCATTTATAACTATAGTTAATACTGTAGATTACCATAAAATATAATAATACTCAAATGTACATTGGTCAGAGGTTAATATTGACATAGAATACTGTGTTCTTAAATTCAACTGAAACAACTTAACTGCTCTTCATGTTTAAACTAATACATTCTCAGTATTTCATAATATTGTACTGGTTAATCTATAGCTGTGTAACTTGAAAGAGAACTAGACATTTTATTTGGGTAAATTATGAGTACCTTTTGATTATATTGGTTAGTTATTACTGCGAAGAAAATAAATTCTACCGGATGATACAGATTGAATATTTTATAGCAAGAAAGGTCTCTCAGTAAAATGTGAAGGAATTAATATATTTATACTGAAATAATAAAATCGCACATTGGATGTATTCCGAGAATGTAAGCATATTAACGGCGATAGTTTTTATCGGAAAAATGTAAATATTTTTTTTTTTTTTTGCCGTTTTGAGTAGAATATGTTATCTCTCTAGATATTCTTGTTGACATGATTTCCGGGAAAACGTTAATAAAACGCTAACAATAATAGAAATATTGCCTTATAAGGGACTAAACTTATAAGGTACTAGGAATGTATTTTTGGATTTTTTCATATTAAATCTGAACATTTGTAGAAAAAGAAAGAGACTACATTGAGATTTACCCACAATAAATGTATTTAATTTTTTTTATATTATGAAGTGTATTTTATAATGTTTATTATTTTTAGGTATTAATGCGTAAATATCCATTAATGTGAAATTTGTACATGCAATTGTGGTTAAGTTATTAAAAATATGGAAATTATTACAAAAATAAAACCTATTGGTTTTAATAACATAGTATGTTTTTATATTTATATATTATGTATTTAATTCTCACCGTTATAAAAAAAACTAAGTACTTATTTTCAGATATTTTTGTTTGACTATTTTATAAGGATTTATTTTATTGTTTTCGAGATAAATTTAAAATGCATTAAAATATCGAGTAGGATTATGTATTGAATTATTATTATTGTTGGAAAACGTTAAATTTAATAGACATTTTACCGGAAGACGTTTTTAACCATGATCAACGATTTTATTCACGTAGTAGGTATAGACAACATATTTTAGAAATACATAGTTATTATACATTGACATTATTACATTACTAAAATAAATGTGACAAACATTACCTGTCATGCGAATTGTTTTCTATTACCGTTTGATTTAATTCATTCGTGAACTGTGAATAGTTTTTGTAATCAATTTTGCCCATCTATTAGGTTGTGAAATGTTTCCTCTAGTTTTACTAATACTTCCGAGTTCTACACATAGAAAACAACGAGAATGCCGTTTAAGACCATCGATAGATTTCTACCGCAATCGTGGTTATTTTTCATTTTTCGTCCACCGCGGTTACCGCGGTGCATGCGCTTGTAGTGCGTATTTGATTATTTCACGTGATATTCGCCGTCGTAATCCACCGAGGCCGACCGGCAACGCCCCCAAGTGTCGGCCGAACAAGACCGCCGCCGGAGCATATGGTACCGGTGTACGGTCTCGGCGCGCGCGAACCGACCTTTAGTCCGTGTTTACCGTCGTCGGCGTGAGGGTGTCCGTTAGTGCGTACTACAGTGTTTCGGGTTTTCTCGTTTTATTTTTATTTTCTCCCGTTTTCGCGTAAATCATAATAATTTCGTTCGTCGCAAACAAGTCGACTGCGTTTTCATATCGCATACGACTCAACGCATTTTTTCGCCCTATCGTCTTTTAACAAGAATATTTTCATTTTTTTTTTTTTTTTTATCCCTTGTTTACCGAATTAGTGCGACGTGCCTGTACACACATCGACCTGAACGAAACATATTTTCATGTCGAGTTTTGCGTTAACATTTGTTCTGTTAAGTATGACGTGACGGTGAGACATTTGCGAAAAGGCTGCAGTCGAAAAAGCGGTCGGTTGTGAAAGGTAAGTGGAAAAAATTTTTCCCGTTTTTTTTACTTTACGACGCGTTTTTAATCATAGCAAGACGAATCCGTATACCCACATGATCAATATGTATATATGTTTATTTATAATTAAATATATCTGATGAGTTTGCTTTTATATTCGCTTACCGACTTATTGTAGTAATTTTTTTTTTTTGAGTTTTCAATTACACGTCGGGGTGAAAAAGAAAAAAAATTGCAAACGATGTACCCGCGTACGCAGTGGAAAAATATAATATCGCAATTGGAAGTAATAAATTAATATTTAATGCCGTCGTCGGTGTTTCTATCCGCAGGCTTCGTGAATTTTTATTGTTATCAAAAGACGTTTTGTGTAGTTTTAACGATTCTATTATTGATGTCCGGATGCGTGCGTTTCAATCCTTTTTATTTTTTTCCTTTCCCCGTCCACCGTACGTCATTATTTTTATTCGGCAATCATTGCGTGCGCGTAATTCCAAATGAATCCGTCGAGTCCAGTTCGGACCCGGTGGCGGCTTCGGCGGAAAACATTATGCAGCCGCCATTTCGGCGTCGCCGAAGGATTTAGTACGACGGTAAGATTAACCAATTCACCTACCAATTATTGGTAAAACCTTGGTACCTAAATCATATACTTACATATCACTCTTTAGCACCGCCGTACGTTATGTAATAAAAATAATGGTAATGATACTTGTAATAATAACATGTGGAACAATGGGAGAGAACCGTACGTATAATATGTAAAAGAAAAAAAAAATTGATTAACCCCGGTAATGGAATATCTTCCGAAGCCGTACGCGTGGTTTTCTTACCGACCAATACACATCCTGTGCAATTTATTCCGATGAAAGACAGAAAACCAAAATCAATACCTACAGTGCTCGGCACCTGAATGCATCGTCATCATACCGTCTTTTGTGTTAGCAGGTTTTTATTTGTGTTTTATTTCTAATCTTATATATCGTTATCTTCTGCTTGGTCGAGTCTTATATTTTTACACTTGTAATATTTCATTAATTTAAATTTTTTATGTGTGAAAAAACCCAACCCTGCCTTGGCAGGTGTATTTAAATATGTGCATTATTAACGTTAATATTAAGAATAATTTAGTACAATGTATACTGTAAATTTATTTTGATTCTGTACATTTTTCCCTATGACGTAGGCGTATTTTGAATTCTATTTCGAAATTTTATATTCTTATAAATAATTTCATCCGTGTCCTTTCCGGCACACTTTTTCACAAAACTTTTTTTAAAAAAATCTTAAATGTATCAGAACCATTACTTTTCACAATTTTTTATTTTTAATTATTATCAAATTATGACTGCCAGAGTATTCATATATTATATTTATAAATATTTGTGTATCGAGAGATTTTAATGTAGGTATATACTATTATTTTTTTATTTATTTATATATATATAAAATCAACGGGCGAGAGCCCTTTAACAATGAAAGAAAAACATTAATATATAAATTGGCACAATATGAAAAAAATAGACAAGTGATAATAATAACAGTAAAAATAGTAAGAAATACAAAGATAAAATTTTAGTATATAGAAAAAAACTATAAAAATAAATATTTAGGCACTATGATTTAAAAATAACAAAGTTTTAGCTTTAAATACTTGACGAGACAAAACAAAAAAATCTAAGACTGTGGAGATTCTATTGGCGTTAATAATGGCTCTTGAAAAAAATGAATTTTTTCCACTATTTGTATTAAAATTAGGTGTATGGAACAAATCAGAATTTCGTGTATACCTAGTAGGGATTCTAAATCCAATTAAATTAAAAAAATATCATAGATTAACATTATATCAATTAAATCACGCCTAGTGTTAAGAGAGTCAATACCTATCGAGTTTTGAACCAAAATGAAAGAGTCCCTGGATATAGTGCAGTGAGTAATAAAGGCGACTCTTTTCAAAAATTTATATTGAATATTATTAAGCTCGTTTGAGTAAGTAGAATAATTATTAGACCAAATTAAAGAGCCAAATTCTAGGTTTGATCTAACTAAAGAAGTATACAATTTTTTTAAACATTTTTAAAGTCCTTCATTTTTCTAGTAATAAAACCCAAAATTTTATACGCATTATTTATGATTTATTTTGAAAGACATATCAGATTCAAAACAAATACCTAAATCTGAAATAGAAAAACATCTTTCAAGAGGATGGTTATCAATAAGATAATTATGAAAAACAGGACTTTTAGTGCGGGAAAAAGTTATAATTTTACATTTATCATGGTTTAAGGATAGATAGTTTCTTTTACTCCATAACACAAGTTTATTTAAATTGGATTGCAACAAATTTTGGTCAACAACATTTTTGATTTCACAGTAAATTTTAACATCTTCAGCAAACATCAAAATGTTTACTGAACTATCTAAAATAAGATATCTAATATTATATTACACAAGCATATTATATTGCTTATTATGTTCGTATTAGAAATTTTTCTGTGATTTATTCAGTTGTTAATCATTTATTTGTACTGTCTTTGTATGTCTCAGAGTATGTCCTTATAGTCTTCAGGTTGTCATCTGAAATTGAAGTTGAAACTGCATAAAACATGTTTTTACATTTTATTTTAATTTTACAAACCGGCAAACGTAAGTAAAAATCTTATTATACAATATTTAAAATAAGTCGTGAGTTTTTAAACGATACGTCTAACGTAAATTCAAAAGAATTAAATAATTTTGATATAAAACGTTCATATAATAATATTATAAGTTTTTGATATTTTATTGAAGTATGACATAAAGAGTCTTCAAATATATATAATTTAAAATATATATTAGTGAAGAAGTTTAATATTGTGTCTACGATATTGTTTTTAATTATAAATATTATGTGTTAATCGAGGTGTTAACTTAGTATTTAATATATGTGTTATGAATGTCAACCTTGACATGTTATGTTGGTTATGAATTTGAAATCGGTTTGGTTGATGGCTTATAAATTATAATGTTTTGGTAAACGGATAGATAAAAAAATAAATAGGCAATTTAAAATCATGACGTATAACACAAATCTTGCAATGAATATACTACGAATTAAATATAATGTCCCAGCATGAAAATATCTAGTAGGACAGTTTAGGACACAATAAATAAAAATATTATTTTTGTAATCATCTTTTTTATTCCAACTTTCCAATATAATATTTTTCGACTGATTCAAAACTTTAATAATACAAACCACTAGATGTTCTATCCCGCTTATGGAGTGCAAAGAGTAATACTGTAGTCAAAGGATTTATCATTTTTTTCAACTGGAGTATAAAAAAAATTCACCAGAAGCTTCTGATATTGGAAGGCTTTCTCTTTTGATGTTAAAATCAGGTCAGACAGAATTTTGAGTATGTACGAATAGAAATATAATAGGTGCATTTTGTTCAAGGGATAGACGTAATCAAGACAGGTAGTCATTACTTTGGTCGATATTGAAAAATAAAATTAAAACTATTGTTTTTCTTGTCATAGGTATTTTATAATAAATACCTAAGTTTTTACTTAAAATAAATTTGCAACAAAAAAAGAAAAAAATATATTTAACAAATATAATTATTAAAGTATTATTTAATGTAAGGAATACTAAGTATTCCAATGCAATAATAATAACCTAGGTATTCGTTCGTAGAAGGTAAATATTGTTTATTAATCATTAGTTTCAAAATATGTTGTTCAAAAAAGACATTTAATACTTTCTATATTTTATATTAGGTATAGGATTTTTTTATAGTTATTTACAAACTTGTAAGTTTTTATCTCTATGATTGTAATCTTTATACGTAGGTACCCATTATTTGACCATTAAAATGCTTAAAATAACATTTGCGGTCGTAAGTCATTACATTATGTAAAGCAGGTAGTATATAAATAAAGATTATTTTTAGTTTAATGGCATAAACATTTATTGTATACCTATGTATATAAGTAAATAAAATACATGTATTCAAATATAATTAAAAAAAATAATATTTTATTAGTTTACATTTCATAGTTATACCGAACTTGTACCATTGTATTTCAAAAACTTTACTAAAAGTCAAAATATTTTGAGCTCGTTAGCCCTTGTTATTTTTCTTGACGGCATATCAATACATTTAGTATACCTAGATTCGACTTGTTTAGATTATAACTATAAGCAAATATTATTTCGGCTGAGTGATATTTGGAAATCTGAGATAAGTGACCGAAATGTCAACGAGATGGCTGTTATCGAACTTCACACCCATCGTCATCATTGTTCTTGTTGTCAGAGCTATAGTATAAGATGTGTGTAGTAGGTGCATACTTTTCAGTATAAATATCATTAATTCGAAATTGATTTTTCATGTTAAAAATTCAAACAGTCGATATTTATAATATTTTGTTGATTGAAACTTTTGACATCATTTAGGTTAATTAATGAAATAACGGATGGTCGAAAATTATCTTCAATCATAATATTTTAAAATATGACTGATAATAGGTAATATCTATAATAATGTATAAGTAAAATATATCTTTATGTTTTTGATCATTCTATACTTTTGTTTTATTTGTCTGTATACGGTATGTTTGAACGCCGAATTTCAATGTATAAATTCACGATAAATATGGTAGATATAAGCGTTTATAAACATATTCTACTGGTTTTCAATAATTTAAAAATATTTTGACTTAAAAACATTGTATTTGAGAATCCGTCATAAAATAAAAAAAAAGTAAGTTTAGAAAGTAATATAGATTAGGTTAAGATTATATACAAATTAAAAATGTCTTAATTTCTAGTTAAGTATAGATAAGAATGTTAAACGCATAGTTTTTTAATAAGACAATTTTTGTGAGCTAAAGTCCTGGTCATAGTTAATACAATCAATCTGTATGACAGGCGTGGTCAGTGTCATAATAAATGTGGTTTTGATACAGTAGAAAGAGGTTTAATCACTTCTTTCAATTATTATTTTATTATCTCTGATAAATAAAAAAACA